TTCCATGTCGTACTACTTCGTGCGTGATGGATTGCTGTTTAAATCGTATTTACCAGGCTACCTCCGGAAACGTAGTACGTTTAGTGACCAATTGGTGTTGCCTTACGCCCTTACCGGACTAGTGCTACACGCCTATCATGACCACGTATTATCTGGGGGCCACTTAGCGTCTAGACCGACTTATGAGAAGATTCGCCAAAAGTACTGGTGGCCAACCATGAATCGGGACGTCCGTACTTGGTGTCAAGAATGCCAAGCCTGTCAACGTCGGAAAACAGCCCACAACCGGAACAAATTACCAACGGGACATGTACCAGTACAAAGACCGTTTGAACGTATTTCGGTTGACCTAAGTTGAATATAAAGTAGAATCAGTTTCAGCCGCCGGGGTACGGTGCAAACATGTCCTATCCATGATGGACCACCTAACCCGATTCACCGTGTTGACTCCGATTCCCAACAAGTCAGCAATCACTGTCGCTCAGGCCATTATCGACCGCATCATCAGCATCTTTGGATCGCCTGAACTGTTGCATTCCGACCAAGGATCTGAATTTGAGAACAACAGTGTAGTCCACCAATTACAGCGTATTCTGAACTACAAGAAAACCCGCACGACACCATACCGTCCGCAGGGTAATTCTGTCTCAGAACGAGTACATGCTACCATGCACGCAATGCTTGCCATGCATAGTTCCATGAACCGCGATAACTGGGCATCATTGCTGCCTTTTGTCCAACTGGCTTACAACACGTCATTTAGCTCCACCATGCGTGAAACACCATTCTTTCTTATGTTTGGTCGGAAGCCACGACTACCAGTTGACATTATCCTCGGCATCCCTCATGTGGGAACAACAGCGAATACCGAGGAATTCTCTAAAACAACACAGGAAAATCTACAGGTTGCTTTTGAACTAGCGCGCCGTAACCTATCGGAACGCACAAAAAAACAAGCTGCTAAGAACGCTAAACTGCGCCCTATCCCTGTGTTTAAACCTGGTGATCTAGTACTTGTGTACCGCCCATACCAGGATTCGGATGGACCAAATCCGAAATTATTGTTACCGTGGAGAGGACCTTACGTCATCTGCTCTAAATTATCACCGGTGGTATATAGAGTGAGACGCCAGAACGAAACTCGAGAAGTTTCGGTCCATTTAGCCCACATTAAACAGTACTACGCGAGGAAAACGCCACCTGCGCCAGACTTTGATAAGCTTTCCGAGTTTTTCTTAGGACGCCAGATTCCGTTGCCCGAGCTAGACCATCCCGACGAAGCTCAACCGAAAATTGAATCCTACGTCGTTGACAAAGTGGTAAGTCATAAGAGTGGTAAGGGGCCGAAAACCCCGTACAACTACAAGTATCGTTTGCGTCTTCGAGGCTACGGCCCTGAGTCAGACCTTGAATATAGAGCAGACGAAATTCCACAATGTCAAGAAATGATATCTGCCTACCGAATCCGTTGTGGTTTGAAAATCGTGCAGCCTAATAAATCGTCGTCTCGTGCCCCAGTTGAACAGGGAGACCCAAAATCACCCAGTAAAACAGGGAAACGAAAACGAAAACAGGCAGCTACTCCTCAAGAACCTTTAAGTCGGAAATTGGCAACGCAAAGTGGCTCTGAGCCACCGAACAAAACCAAGAAGCGACGAAGAAGGCTCCTAAAGGAGGGTCCATTACCCAAGTCGCGTTCTGCTACGACACAGAGTGATACTCAATTGCCCTGCCGTACTAGCAAACGAAAACGAACTAGGGCCCGGAAATTAAACGATTGATTTATTCTATCGTTCCTAACAGTTGCCATGTCTATCTTTTCCGAGACTTGAGACAAATTTATACTACTATTATTCTGTGTTATATATATATATATTTAGCACAGGACCAGTAGCCACGGTGGTTGGTTGTATCCAGTGGAAACAACCTATTTTTGAAGTGTTTGGGGAAACACTCGCGAGGAGAATTGAATGATACCACCGCTGTCCCAAGATCTTATTTTTTTATGAATAGATCTTATTTTTTGATGAATAGATAAACTTGCCAGAGGGTCACCTCATTACAAGTTCATCCTCCATCAAAATCTTATTTTTTTTTATGAATAGATAAACTTGCCAGAGGGTCACCTCATTACAAGTTCATCCCCCATCAATACCTTATTTGTGATGAATAGATAAACTTGCCAGAGGGTCACCTCATTACAAGTTCATCCCATCAAGATCTTGTTTTTGATGAATAGATAAACTTGCCAGAGGGTCACCTCATTACAAGTTCATCCTCCATCAATATCTTATGTTTTGGTGAACAGATAAACTTGCCAGAGGGTCACCTCATTACAAGTTCATCCTCCATCAAGATCTTATTTTTCGATGATGAATAGAGAAAACTTGCTAGAGGGTCACCTCATTACAAGTTTATTCCTCATCACGATATTATTTTATGATGAAAAGACAGACTCGCCGGAGGGTCACCTCATTACGAGTCTATCTCTCATCAACCCCACAGCATTATCATGCGAAATATTTTAGTACACTAGCTGTCATCTTGATAGCCCAGTACCCACAATTTTTTTTTTTCTAGACTATACTAGTATGGACCACATCTATCACTACTCTGTCTGAAGACTCCGTGTTTTTTAACACGCGTTGTATGATAATCAGGCCGAGTTGATGATGTTGTACCAGGTAGGTTAACTCCAATACATGTGTCTCCATGAGCCACTCATGTCTATGGCCGCCAAAAGCACATCTTTAGCACAGATGGACTTGTGGCGCATAGAGGGGGGGGTGATGTGGAGGACACCTGTCAGGAGTATAACCAACCATGTGTGCACATACAAAGTGTAGGAAGATATGGCTCCCTCGGGGTATCTTGTCACAAGGAGAGTGACAGGAAATGCACCGTCGGAGATGGATATCTTCCGAAGTCCCTGGCCACTTGCCGAAAGTGGAAGCGGAGAGTCTTCGACTCTCCTCTCCCTCTGCCGCTATGGCCACTCTCTCTTTCTACCCTCTTCTCCTCGTTTACACATCACGAGAGGAAATAGCCTTCCCCTGGCAGTGGGATAATACTGCCACGGCACCGGCATGTGTCTCCGACAATAGCCAGTGTCCTCAACTCCGCTCAACTTTTTTTTTTTTCGCGGCATGTGGTCGCATATATATTTCTTTGCCACTGCCGAAAAAGACCGCTGGATCTTTACGCAGTCCACCTTTTGCATTTATCATTTTACACTGAACGACGCAGGACGGGTCGACCTTCATCGTTGTTGTTGTTGCTGTTGTCTCCACATTAAAAACAGTTCCGACGTCCTCCTCGATACTTGTGGACTACCTGTTGGAAATTGTGGGAATCCCTTCATTCTGAGAGAGAGAGCCATAGGTCGCCATCCGGCCTTTTCTTTTTTTGTATGCACTTTTCTTCTTGTGAAGTTTTGACGTTGTGCGCTTGCCATCGTCGCCGCGTAAGTGTTTGTGTCTTCAAACCTTCTCAGCCGGCCTTCAAACTTCTTGTTGATAAGTCTCCGTGTGGTAACTTCTCCGCGCATGAGTCGTATGCAGCTATGACCTGCGCTTTTTCACGATGGGTATTTAACCTCCCCGTCTTGCGTTGGTGAGTACCTGCGATATACAGAAGGATCGCTCCACGACGCAAACGTCGACGTCTCCGTTCTTTTTTTTGTTCCCTTCGCACTCCATCCTTGCCGCGGTTTTCACACCGACTTCGAACGTGGGGTGCAATTTCCTCTCTTCGTACCTTCCTCGTCGGCCTTCTCCGTCGTTGTGTACATAATGTACAATACCTCCATTTTTCGGCTTTTCGATTCCGATAGACAAGACTACGGACTGACATGTTCCTTTCATCCCCGACAGGACCGCGCGCTCGTCGAGTGCCGAAATTCTTCATCACTTCCTTGCCTCTCCCAACACCGTCCCTTCTTCCCGCCCTTACAAATCCTCTCCCCATTTTCTTCTTCTTCCCTTCCTCCCGGACACTCACCACCATCCGTTCTGGATGTTGGCCCACAGCCCCATTGGGGGGCGGGGGGCCAATCCTTAACCCTAGTATATACCATACATAGAAGAACAGTTAGTCGTTACCCTCGTTCCCCCTTCGGCAAAACGCGCTTGTGCGCGTAGAAGCGTGGTGTATGGCGTTGGTTGCATTTGCTTATATCGCTCGGCGACGTATTTGTAGCTCACGTTATATTGGTTATATCCCTGTGATAGTTAGGAGTAGTGCCATTGAGTCGCAGTCAGTCTTCTTGTTGACGCTGGATCGTACCAAGTAGTAGGCCGGCTTTGTTTCAGTCTTGGTCTGGCGGTTCGATTCGGGTAATTTCTGCAGCTTCCCCTCCGTTGGACGGTGTTGTGAAGAATCATTCTTGGGTTCATGTTCGTAAAAGATCGGCATTGCTATTGTTATTGTAGCTCTAGGATTTGAGTATATTATCTGCGTAGAGGCTATCATGTTCAGGGTGGTCTAGTGCCCCCACGTTGAACGGAGGATCCTCATTTCCATTCAGACCTTTCTCTCTCAGCAATTCAAGCAATATCTCTACACGATCGATCGTGGACTCAGGGCACCGAGTGGCCGCACCTTTTCTTTCCCAAGTATCGAGCGACTTCCGTTGTCGTCGTGAATTTCCACTACGTTTTTTGGCGGATACAAACTGGGCGGTTTCGCAGTACGGCGGTATCAGCGGTAATAGGTTTTTCGTTTTTCGGCGGTACCACCAAACAAAATACGGCGGCAAAATTCCGGCGGAAATGGCCTCCTGAATGCCACTCCGATACCACCGAACAAACTGTCTTGCTGGATGGAGTTACACCAATGCTTGATTTGTCTTGGGATCCAAGCAAATGTGGACATGCAGAGCTCCCAGACTCGCATCTTTTCTTGTCGCTGACAATAAGCCCTCCCTAATGTACGGGCTCGAATGGCGTACGGTTACGATCCAAACATGGATGCCTTTTTTTTTCGTGGTGCAGTTCCTTCCCATGATACGTCGTCATGCAGGCAACAAAGTTTCTATATCAGGGCGTTACCCCGCACCCAGATCAAAACCGCACCAAGCTTGCTCCGTTGGTGATAGTGTAGTGTTTCCGCGTTCGACTAAGCTCGGCGGTCATTGGCGCGGCGCTGTTTATTGCGGAGATATTTTCGGCGGTGATCTCCAGCGTGTGAAGCAGAACCCCCCCCTTGCGTGCCGTTACCACCCCCTCTCTCTGGATGTCAAGCAACGTGCGCTGGTGAGGGCCTGCGATAGCCACCCTGCGAGCGCGAAGAAGACATGGATCGAGCCAGTACTGTGGCAGGGTTTATTGCAGCCTCCCTGTGCTGCGTTTTTCGTGGTGCCTATTCCACCACCAGTGCTACAGTTGACTATTACAGCAGTGCTACAGTTTACTCTTACAGTACTACAGGTGACTGCATCTATGCATTTATATCCGACGGGTGGTGCGACTTGGACAACAACACCGAGTGCGACTGGGACGGTGGAGATGTGAGTCTTCTTGAGTATGTGAAGCTGTGGCTACAAGTATTGCAAGGGCTTGCAGACGGACTAGGGATGATCCGGGACGCTATGAGGGCTGTTGAAGACATGATACATGCATCGATAGCGTTTCGCATTACATACATTGTTCAACAACGCCTTCGGCAGCCTTGTTGACATTTCAAGAAGTGGCAGCAAATATCACACACTTCTTGTTTCCACTCTGATAGGGTACGGTGCAGCTGTGACCAATGGTATCCCCGTGCCCGCCCCCCTGGCCATGCCGTTTCGCGTCTTTCCCCCTTGCCCTTCCGGCCCTGCCCCTGTGGGTGCGCACGGAATACATCAATAGTGCTGCGAGTGCACCTGTGTTGATAGCCTTTTTTCATGTGGCATCGCGGGCTTCTCCTGTCTGGACCCCTCCGCGACTGATTTATACGACTGCGAGGAGCCGCCGGCCGCTACTCCTTGCTCGGCGGAAGCTCAGCAGGCGTGGGTGGTGGAAGACTCTGCACAGGCACAGGCTCTGGCAGCCAACGTCAACTGCTCCGGCGGGTCCTTCCAGGTGGAGTGGAGAGGAAGCGTGTCCTTAGATGCACCTATCTTCATCGTGCACGGGACCGATCTCAACGTGACGGGCGGTGGCGAAGCGAGCGCTGTCATCGACGGGAACGGGACCACGCGATTATTCTCCGTCGACAACGCCACCCTCCGCTTGAGCGGGGTGGAACTCCGCTCCGGTTCTAGCGCCATCGGCGGGGCGATTGCAGCGTCTGGTGCCACGTTGGCGTTTAACAACACAAGTTTTGTCAACAACAGCGCTGGCAGTAACGGAGGGGCGCTGTGGTTGACCGATTCGAGCGTCTCGTGGGGGGGGGGCACAGAATTCATTAGCAACACTGCTGCTGAGTCCGGAGGTGCGATTTTCCTTCTGAACGGATCGTACGTAAGCTCTACCGGAGACACGAACTTTGTGCGGAACGGCGCACTTGTCGACGGAGGCGCGGTGGGATCGGTTGCCTCGGATTCTGTTCTGAGCCCCGAGGACTCCACCCTTTCCATCGATGGTCCTACGGCTTTCGTGAACAACACGTCCGGAGAGAACGGCGGCGCCTTAGCTCTGCTTGGAGGGCTTTCGATTTCTGTCAACACGGGGGAGACCAGCTTTGTCGATAACTCTGCTAACTTGGCGGGAGGGGCCGTCTACGTCTCCGACACAGCAATCGGCCCGACATTTTCCGACGTTATATTCGACTCCAACTCCGCTCAGGTCGGAGGAGCAGTCTCCTCCTTGGGGTCTGGGAACGTGAAAGGGGGCGAAAACGACCAGCTTCTCCCGACCACTTTCAGCCGATGCCGGTTCACCTTCAACCGGGCAACAGCAACGGGTGGGGCTGTCGACAGCGCGAGTGGACAAGATCTTTTCGAAGACACCGTGTTTAGGGGCAACCAAGCGGTGACGGGGGGTGCGCTGAGACTGGCGGGAAGGGCGTCTTTAGTAAATTGTTCTTTTGTGGAGAACCTTTCCGACGACGGGGAGGGCGCGGCAGTGTCCAACGTCGGTGTCATTTCGGAGATCAGCAACACCACCTTCAGCGGGAACGTCTTCAACTGCGCGCCAGACACGTTCCTGAACTACACTGTACGTGATACAATGTTGGCACGCTGATTGTCGGCTATGCTACCTACCTCGGTTACCCCCCAACTCAGAAATGTGTGTCACCCACTTCATCGTCAGACAGTGTGTCGTAGCACGTTCGTTACTGTACACATGACAGCGCTCTACGCTATTAATAGTAGTACCTCTAACAAATGACCCCCTGGCTACACTCCCCAATCTCTAACGCCTGGTGATCAACAGTCAGGAGATGCGTTGGACGAAGCCTGTAGCGGATGCCAAACTACCTGCGATGGATGCGTCCAACCGCCCGTGGTCCCGTTATGCTCGGACGTGATTCCCCATTCAAGGAGCGATGGTGGCTTGGTTACCCTGGAAACCCTCTCGATCGATCCCGGCTACTGGAGGGCCACTAATTCTAGTACAGAAGTCCTGGCGTGCTACAACGTCGACGCCTGCGTTGGGGGTATTACGGGGGCAACTGAGTACTGTGTTGAGGGTTACGAAGGGCCATGTGAGTGACGTTTGGTGGAAGAACAAACTTGAATGCCGGCAAGTTTTGTTCATTGGGCTTCGCCGAGTACATGGACATATTTCATACAAGCCAGTACCTATCTGTGCTTCCATGTTTCCTGTCCCCTAGGTTGTTTCAGCACTGTAATAGTAAGACCAGAAGCAACGAGCTCGTTTCTTGGCTGAACGCTGGTACGCAGGAGGAGATAGAGAAGGGGCGTGTCGCCGTAGCAGAACAAGAAATGTCACCATTTCGGCCTCTTCTCTCTGGCAGCAGCACGGTCAGCTAACTCCCTAGACTCTCCCGAACTCCACCGCCCGGTTTTACCTGTATTGGACCAGATTGTGCCATTTGCAGTGACGATTACTCGGCCCAACTGGGATTCACCTGCAGCAAGTGCCCCAACAGAGCCGGCGGTATCCTGCTCGCAACCGCTCTTGCCGTGATAGGACTCTTCACCGTCGTTGCCGTGGTCTCATACGTGGCATGGAGGGTGGATCCGAACACGGGATGCGCAATGGCAGGGCACCTGAAACGGTACCTCCCGCTCCAGACTTTGAAGATCCTTGTGGTGGCGTGGCAGATCGTGACTCAGGTGCAGAAAGCGAAGGGGGTGTGTCCCTCATGTGTGGTACCGGTATGTAGTCCTTGGATGCAGTTCTCGAGAAAGAACGTGGAAAGCCCGTCAAACTCTTGTACCCCGCTACGTCGCTTCTTCTGAATCAAATGGATCCCGACCTCGTCTTTTCGTGGTTCAGTCACAAATGAGAATCAAACTACACGTTGGTTCAACACCACTCCGTGTTTTTGGCAGCGCCTACTGCTTTAGGACGCTGTGGGTCTGTAAGCATCGGTGCGTTAATCATGCCAATGTTCTGCATCTCGAGGCCCCACACAGCGTAGGAACAACAACTCATACTGCCCTCCCCTTGGACTCTCGATACGTGCGGAGAGTACACAAACGTTGCCTGAGGCTTTTTCCTCCTCTCCGCACAAGGCACTTCCCTGACCAGCTCTCCTTTCTCCTCCTTCCAAGAAAATCACCCCCCGTGCTGCATGATGATTGTTCCGCATCGACGCAGTTTACTTCCGCGGCGAACGTGACCTACCCGGACGTGTACCAGCGCTTCCTGAATGGCCTGGACGTGTTCAACTTCGATATTTCCTGGGTATTGTCGGCTGGTTGCGTCATGGACCTTGATTTTCACGACCGGCTGCTGCTCTCGACGATCGGTCCCATCATGGCTCTGCTATTCCTGGCGGCAACCTACAGAGCTGGTTCGCGCATCAACCGCGGAAATGCGGCGACCCTGCAGCTTGTTTGGGACAGGCATGTGTCGATGGTGCTCCTATTGGTGTTTCTGGTCTACTCCGGCGTCAGCTCTGTTGTGTTTCAGACTTTTGCGTGCGACCAGCTCGAGGGCGGCGGGGAATACCTGCGTGCGGACTACCGCATCGAGTGCGATTCCTCCAAGCATCAAGGATTCCGTGTGTACGCAGGGTTCATGATTCTGCTGTACCCGGTGGGCATCCCTGCCTTCTACGGCGCTCTTCTGTTGAGGGATCGCGACGTGCTGGAAAAGGATCCGGACGGTCGAGAAGATCCTCCCCGTGTCGCTTCGATCTCTAACCTGTGGCAGCCGTACAGGCCTTCGGTGTACTACTACGAGGTGATTGAATGCGGTCGCCGTATTCTGCTGACCGGCCTAGTCGTGTTCATCTACCCAAACACAGCCGCCCAGATTGCGATAACGCTCATCATGACCGTCGTCTTTGCGGTGCTCTCAGAAGCCTTACGCCCATACGCGCAAGCGTGGGACACCTGGGTCAGTCGCGTGAGTCACGCCGTAGTCTTCATGAGCGTGTACGTCGCGCTCCTGCTCAAGGTAGACGTGTCCAACGAGAAGGGAAGCAGCCAAAAGGTCTTTGAGGCCGTTCTCGTTGCGGCGCACGCTTGCATGATTTTGGCGGTTGTGGTGGAGACGATCTTGCTGGGGTGCCCGTCGAGGGTGAAGGAACAAGACGAACCGGCGCCAAGGGTTGGCGGCGATAGCGTGACGATGAGGTTTTCGTACACGAACGAGATGAAGGTAGGTTGTGCGGGCAACTCGTCTGCTGAGGACGATGACGACGACCACATGAACGAGGCGGGCCTGACACCCGTAGGATGAGGAACAGAACACCGCGTTCTTTACAAGCGATGCACCGTCAGTGTTTGATGGGCCGTGCGTGTGTAGCAGAACGCTTGTTGGACTTGATAGAGAATACGACGGTGTGTCCCGAGGGTGGGGGTTCGCAATACATTGGGGAAATATGGGGTTGTGTCAAGGATGATTGTAGACAGACATATCCATACGTAGTCGGCTTTCGGTTGTGTTTGCTTTTGTGCCTTTTCACAACGTTCCAAGCGTTTGGGAGAGAACCAGCAGGGGCAAGAACCGAATGCGCGGGTCTGGAGTTTTCCTCAGCCAGTGATTATAGCAATGGTGTCCGTACGGTGTCTGCACTGGGTGGCTTGGCACACCACCAATGGGCGGCTGGGGAAGGTCGGGAAGCGCGTGCTAACATTTCAGACCCTTGCACTTCGAAGAGCGAGTCGTGTGCCGTGCGAAGAAAACTATTTATTGAACGGGATTACAGAGTAGCATTCGACAGCAGCTGATGGACCTTTCTTTGTCGAAACTCGTCATACGTTGTGTGGACAGGCACCTGGGAAGGTGTTTCGGGCACAGAGCAGGTTTTAGCGTCTAGGTTTTTTTTTTATGCGTGTCGGGTATGAGTTCGGTCGTTTAACTCCTCCGATTAACGCGACGGGGTGGGAGCTCAGAGGCTCCAAGAGAAGAGGTCTCATTGCCTCTTGCAGATGAAATGGCAAGCAATGTGTGAGCTGCTGACTGTTCTCTACTTCGGAGGTTCTTGATGGAATGGCAGTCTATGTCTATTCTCTTTGAAGGAAAATACGGATGGGAAAGTCGTTGTTATTGTCGAACGTAGCGATCGTTACCGAAGTGAAGACTTTTTGTAGACTATAATGGTGTCAGTTTCCGTCAAAGATATAGAGGCGATATTCGTTGTAAGTATGCAGCATTTCCCTATATCTCTCTTGTTGTTGTTGATGGCACATGATGTCGGTGGTTGTTATTGTTGCTGCTTTTGTTGTTGCTGTTGCTGTTGCTGTTGTGTTTGTTGATTTTAGTTTTGAACAGTTGTTGGATAAGCTTTGCTCAACGAAAGGAACTATGACAAGTTCGCCTCTACATCTCAATGGAGGAAAAGAAGTTGAAATGATGTGCATATGGTCTGGTCCTCCTCCACGGTGTCTGCGACGGGGAAGGGGGGAGATGGAACAGGATGCATTTCTCTCCCTGTCTCTCATCTCACTCTCTCTCGCCCTCTCATTCTCTCTCTCTCTCTCTTCGCCCTCCACACACCACTCTCCGCTATCCACGCATAAACGCGGACGAAGCGAGGCATACATATGAGGATCAGCAACAAACAGCGTGTCGAATCGATGTGGGTGTGTCCTTGCAGTTCATGCATGGGTGCCCAGCTAAGACATCGGGGTGCGATGAAGTCAATACCAAAATGAAATTAACAGTGGGTAAACATGTGGATTATAATCACTGGACTGCTGTGGTCCTTCCTAAGGGGTTGGAACTGAGAGTGCAGGCATGCATCCACCAAGATAATTTTCTTAGCGATATTTGTTTGCCGACTGGAATACTTATTTTATCCAACTATCCTTCCTCCAATCACCGATCCACCCCGCAACCGCGAGTGCCTCACATGCGATGGCAGCAGCGTCGGCCGCAAAAAAGACTACCATCAAAGTATACTTCCGACAAACGATCACTCTACTCCATTTAGACCATGTCGCAGCGACTCCGTTGTTGGTATGTACTGTTCGCATGCACGCAGCCGACTCTCTCTGTCTACCTTAATACGAAGTGTAAGTCTATCTCCCTGTGAATCAACGACAACGAACTGTATCATCGAACTTTTGGAAGTCGTCCTTCAAGCATTTCGCCCAACTCTGTTCCGGGCACCCCCTGCCTGGGTCCTCCCCCCTCACGATGTCGCCGAACATCAATCTCTTCGGCAGTCACCCTTTCGGTTGTCTGGCTAATGCCCCAGAAAACAGCATAATCGCGGATCCGCATGGGTGGTTTCCACGCTTCGGTAGCTAGCTTTGCCTGGGCGTAGGAGAGCTGCCGATATTTTCGCCGCTCTTGCGGCTGTACCCCATAACCCATAGGAACTTGCACGGCTGCTCAAACTAATCAAGGCTGGCAGCAGGCCCTCTCTGTCGGTCGTGGACCGGCCTTGTCAATCGTCTTCCTGGGATAGTCTTCGTTTAAAGGTGGCGTTTATGCGGCCATCCTTCTGCGGCCCCGTAACGTGCCAACTGTGACGAGAGAGTCGCGGTGCATACAACGAGGGCATTGTTGGGAGTGCAACAGCAAACTGGGGGGTGCTGTGTCGAATAAGAACCGTCAGAATAGAGGTTCTTGCCGGAGGCTTCGCCAAATGTCAGTGCTGGCGCAAAGGAGCAGAGGGTTTTACTCAACTCAAGCACGTCGCCGGTTTCACGTCTTAAAGGCAACGCAGTAGACAAATCCAACGTACCGTCGATGAACACCTGCAACCAAATGAAAGGAAGGTACTTCACCTGGTACTGCTGGTTTTGGTATGCGGTATAACAAGAATCTCAACGCTTACACCTTCACTTCAAATCCACCCACATACTCGTGGCAGGGTTCTGAATAACAAAGGAAGGTCTTTCGAGGATCGTGGTGACGATCAGGCAGCGTTGTGATTCTGTACACCGCTATCCTAACTCGAAGTATCCTAAAAAAACGAGCAAGATGACATGCAACAACCGCGGTGAAATCGTACCTCGTCTTGAACTCGTTTGGCCCGGCCACCTCCACCTTCCCCCTGTACATGTCTCGGACACACAGGTGCTCAAACTCCGCTCGAGGCGGCGGCGGCGCAAAACTAGCCCCTGCCGCCGCCACCCCCGTACCGCCTGCCTCCCCGCCCGTTCCAGCCCCTGCCGTTGTCTCGTACGGGCTTGCTGTTTGAAAGTCGAGTTCGTGAAAAAATCGGAGAGCATCGGGCTTTTTCGGGTCGTCGACGAAGTGAACGCGCACGACGGGGCCGCTGCAGTCGTAGACCAGCCGCTGCCCGGCTTCGAAGCCGGCGCCCTCGCCGTTCACTCGAAAGGTTCCCTGTTCCCTGTAGCGCAGAAAGAGTAGAGAGCTGTGGTCCATCTCGTCTTGACCATCACCATCGTGGTTTTGTTCTCCTTCTTCTTTTGTGTTGCTGCCGTCGCAAGCTTGCTGTTGTTTGGGGGAGAAAGTTGCGACTCCTCTCCAGGTCCCCGCCATTCCCCCGGCCTTGTAGTCGATAGTCTTCTCGAGTCCCCATCGACCACGGAGATACCGATATACCCCGGCAGGGGTGTCGAGGCCGAGCGAAGCGGATCCTTCGACGCTGCCACTGCTCTCTCTGCTACATGTTGTTGTTCCAGCAGTGATAGGGCTCGCATTTGTTGACGCCATGCTCTTGAAATGAAGGCCGTGAACCGCGGATGATGAGGTTGGATATTGGTGTTGGTGATAGTGGCAGCGGTGCAGCTGGGGACGTACAGGTCTCCGTAGAGCAGAGGTAAGGCAGCCGCAGACAGTCAGTGCCAGCAGTCTCACAGGGGGCATGAGAGATGCACGTAGGCAAACCCAACGGCAGTGCGGCGTGCGGAGCAATATACCTCGGGGACTTGCAGATGCGGCGCAATAAGCGTGTGCTGTGCTGTGGGTTGTCGACCGACGGCAGACGGCTGACACGGACACACACAGCTTCAAAGCTCCACTGCTGCCGCCACTGAATATCACTGGCGCAGGAATACAAGACGGGTGCCCAGGAGGGCGGGATGGCAGAGGTGCAAATGGTGGAAGTGACAAGTGCAATAGGTGCGGTGGATGCTACGTAGGCCTGGGGGCTCCGTGATTCATAGGGGGATGGGGGCACGCGGGACTGCGTGTGTCCCAAAGTGCAACAGGCCAGGAAACAACCCACAACCCACACACCACACACACTGGGAGAGAGGGAGAGAGGGCGAGAGAGAGACAGAGAGAGAGAGAATGTCGGTGATACTGGTGGTAGGATCGCCAGGCTCTGGGAAGATGGCCCTAGTTCAAGGTCAGTGGGTTTTCCTCCGCACTCCGTGTTACTGATTTGAAAATGTCGGTTCCGCCGCACTCCTCCTACTGCCGGCTACGCGCTGTCCTCAGCCGTACTATGTGGTATGTACTACTTCTCGGCGTGTGAAGCCTAGAGAACAAAGCCATTGCCGTTGCCATGACGGTACTACGAACAACCTAAGTTAATGCTTGCTGCGGTATCGTGTGTTGGCGACTGTCTGCTTGTCCGTCCGTGAACCCCCCCCGCGTATGGCCCTCTGACCAGCTCTGGTAGACTCCCTACCACGATGCAGCAACGCGGAACAGCAGCAGCAGCCTGTTTCCCCAGCAGGAAATGAAGGCCAATCGGAAGCCTCGCCGCCAGCGGTGATGGTGATGCCAGACAGGTGAAAGTGCAAATAGGAACACGACAGCCGTCTTTGAGCCTTGTCGGGGTTCACTGACTGTACCGCTGTGCCGGCGTCGTGCAGGGGCTGTGGCTGCATGCCGCGATCTGCGGTTACCATATTGTACTACTGCTGTACTGCGTACTGCGTCTCTAAACTAGACATGCATGAGTGTTAACTCCGGGTGGGGTCATGACCACAACAGCAGTTGCACACACGTAGAGAACGCGTGTACAGTTCTTTCCGCCTGCAGTTGCTGCTGGCTCTGACAACATTGCTCGTACAAGACCGCGCGCGTAACCATCCGCATATTGGCTGCCCCGCCGTCGACCGTGCGTCCTGCCTGGTGTTCGTAAAACCAATTTTAGCCAAGTATTACTGGAACAGGCAAATGCAAAGTTCGACGTGTTCCCGGCCTCCATCACGACCAAGTACTACATCGCGCACGTAAGGACCGTAGTGTAGCGGGGGCGGGGGCTAAGGCGCACAGAGTGTCTCTCTAACATTCTCAGGCCGCTCACGTTCACGGTACGGGTTTCTTAGTAGTGATGATCTGACTGTTGCAGTTTTTGACAGGATTATTGAAGTCCTCATTATTTTACCCCTTCCTCCTAGATACAATAGTCTTCTTACAGTTTAAGTTTTCTCTGAGAACGCTTCATTTCGCTTCTTTCGGCTTCTGTGAGCGCTCTATTCCGGTCTTCTCGGGCTCTCACAGAGCAGCATTTCCTCTGGAAATTTGGCACTTTGGTGGACTTTCCACTTTTTTTATCTTCCGCTTTTATCTCTCTCGCCTGCCGTGCTGTCACCCCGCTCTGTACCATCATACCACGCATTCCACTCGAAGTACGGCCCTCTCTGTGTGGACCTCCTTCTCCTCCGTTCCTCCGTCTCTCTATGTCTCTGACGGTCTGTCTATCCACATTCTCTTTTCGTTTTTGCCTTCTCTCTTGACCGCTCTCGCGTCGGAATGGTCTGTTGTTTGTTCCGATTCCGTGTGCTACTGCCGTACATTTTTTTTTCTTCTAAAATAACACCTTCACACGGTATGTGCATTTTTTTTTTTTCTTCTAACACCTTCACACGGTATGCACTCACCTCCTATCACGTTGGTACCCTATTCTCTCTCTCTCTCCTCTCGGTGTGTGGGTGTCTGTGTATCCACGTTGTCTTTAAATTTTTGCTCTTCTCTCTTCACCGCTCTCGCGTCGGAATGGTCTGTTGTTTGTTCCGACTTAATTTGTTCAGAATTCAAGTAGTGCGTCCAATTGTTCGTGCTGTCTTTGTTCTTTTTTTGCAGTTCAAGTAGTGCGTTAAATTGGTAGTGCTGTCTTTCTTCATTCGCAGTTCAGCCGACAATTTTGTCTATTTTTTGCAGTTCTGAGTTCTGGGTGTGTATCAGATAATGGAGGGGTACTGGGCACGGCGATGGGAAACAAATAATGGACCTTTACATCTCCTTAAATCACACACGAACCTCCATCATGGGAACTCCACCTTCACGGAAACTTTTACTGCCATCGGTGCCTACCTTCATTTTAACAACATCCTACACCCACTTTCAGAGAAAACATTGCCTTGGAATCGCTTAAAATAAAGCGGGGGCGCGCAGCGCCCAAAACCTTGTACGTATATGCGATTATGGCATATTCGTGGATTCCGAAACGTGTTCGAATATTTTGTCTCGCAATTCTGTTTCCCTGGGGCATGTATGCACGCGAAAAGAAAAAGTATGTATGCGACGGACAAGAAATGCTGCTGTGGCAGTCAGACAGCCAACCCTTTGCTGTGCATGCACCCGTCCAAGTCACAAATGAACGCTCGGCTTGCGAGTCGAATCCCCCACGGGAACCACATGCGTATGTGCGTGCTCCATGCGTACCATAAAAAGAGTGCGTGTTGTCGCACACCTCCTAGGCCGACCTTCAAAGTTCTCGATGGCTCCCTCTCCCAGTTGCCCCAACACCGAAGAAAAGGCGATGGCTTCGGAAAGATCTCGTCGAGAGCATCCCTCGCACGTATCGGTTATGTTTTCGGCGCCCTCTTCGTTGTGGAGCAATATGAGCGTTGGCAGTTGTCGGGTCTAGGGGGCGGCGTGGGATGACTCGCAGCCTGACGGTACGCACACTCCCAGGAGGACCCGTAATAACCCCACGAATCACGACCGATGACCGACAACTACGTACCGTGGTGTTCATCCGGCGTGTGCTCACGCACACGTGCATTTTTCGCCGTAAAATGAAAGCATCGTCATCGTAGATATTGTGTTTAAGGCGTAGACGAACTGCACCAAGGATCGCCGGAGCGGGTTCTCGTTTGTATTTTTCGGGGGAACAGGGATTTCGCAAGCAAGAGCAGTGTCTTGAGCTTGTCCAAAACGGTGCTGTTCTTTTTTCTTGAGACAGATCAGCTTCTGGCGGCAGGCGCAAGCAGCTGTGCCCGTCCTGGCGTTACGATCCGCGGAGCAGCTTGAGGGGCTGGAAGGCATAATCGTAGTCTTCGACTTACGACAGGTGCTGTGTAGCCAACAGCGTAGGCAAGCCGTGTCGAATGTGTTGGTCGGTTTCTGGCGCCAGCTTCCACATTGAGGAAGCTATCTTCAATGGAAGTTGATGAAAGTCAATTGCAGCCGTCTTCCCCATGCCGTGTGTGCTAACTGCCATGCGCTCTGTTCTGTAGGCACCGGCTGGGAAACCAACTAGATTGGGGTTGTTTTTGGAGGTGCACGTAGTCGTTGTCCTCCACAAACGTCCGTGCCTGTGGGAGCGTGGCTTGCGGTGACTCCTGCTGACAGAGTCTGAGACATGGTGTAGAAGCGAAGCGGCGGATTGAAAGAGGGCAAGCTTGTTGCTTGCATCACACCAGTTTCTCGGTTGAAGCAGGGGATATATCAACAGCCCCCGCCACCATTCCTCCTGACTCGTTATCCTTGGAGCGAGACGCTCTCCTCCGCACACCCACCCCGCCTTCAAAAGCTTACTTGTCTTCTTGGGTTGTCATCGCTCGTTCCCCCCGCCTCCGCCTATTCCAGGAATCTAGTCTTGACGAGGTGGCTCAGTGGGCAGCTCTCGTGGAAGATAGGGAGGAATGCGCCTTTCGAGTTTGCGTGGGAAGCAAGGTATCCTAAATGCTCCGGCTGTGGCCTTTGCCACGGCCAGAAAAAACTTATTTCACCTTCTTTTTCATCTCGTGCAGCGTGCGTTGAGAATGGACGGCGACTGTTACGAGTTTGCATGTTTGTGGCGTTGTACCGCTACCGTCCAGGGCGCGACGTACGGCACAGCAACCGATAACCATTTCCCGCCGCTTCTATCCCCCGACTCCGCCTGTCATTGACCTTACCGGGTGCCATCGCCGGGGCTACTACAGCTCGATTTGTTGCCGGAAGACCCAGGAGACGGTACCGGCTTTGGGACAGGGGCGGAAACCGCTCCGGAGCCTGCGGAGAGCGGCTTGGAAGGTGGCGATGCTGCTGCTGCTGAGGGCTTGCAGGAAAGACGTAGTCGTTGCCTGGGGTGGTGTTTAGACCACGGCTTCGAGTACGTGGAGGCTGACTGCAGGGACTCATACACAGGTATACTATTAACACCGTCTTGTCATCGCGTGCGGTCGGATTGCGTCCAAGAGGGGGAGGGGGGAGGCATGTGGTGTCCTTTTTTGTTTTCTCCTTCCACGTCCGAACAGGGGCGCGGGTGGGGTGGAGATGTTGAGGAGAAATGGGCCTGAGCAGCAGTTTGCGGTAGCTCCCGTTGTCAACGAACGGAACGCATGCAGAAACGAGACCTGTGTGCTTGTTTTTTGCCCCGAGATACTTTGGCTACAACGTATTTTCCTTTTTTGCTTTACCGGCGGGGTTCCTTGCATCGAGGAATTGGTTATTTCTTTTCGTTTGGTCATGCCGCAGGGTACCACCGTAAGGATACAAATACTTTCTACAGGAATCGTGTTGTAGACCCGTGCTAGGACTTCCACCTGAAGGACAATTGTTTTCGACGAGAGATACGCCAGGTCTAAATTGCCACGAAATCGATTGGTGAAGTGTGCCGACCTGATCCCAACTCGTTTTTGTGTCGGTCACTGATGTACCTGTGGCCGTCGTGGGTACGCTGCCACCCGCACCCCCGAATAGGCGGAGAGCTAAGAGAGAAGGAAGGCGTCCCTCGCATCGTGGAGGCTCTTCAGTCCAACGTTTGGACGGGCATGGAGTTCCTGTCGAGCAATCGCCCCTCTCTGATGGCAGCGGTAGCAACGGCAGCAGCAGGAGGCTCTAGAAATGACGGCGCCGCCGGCGACGGCGGCAACGTCGGCGGAACCGGCTCTGTTTCGGGGTCAAGCGGCGGAGAGGATGGAACCGCCGCAGCCTTGTCGTTTGCGGCTGGTGCGGATGGAGGGCATGAGGCGGTGAGTGTTGGATGTTTCTTTTTTTGCCGTGGCCCTGTAAGCAGCCTTTTTCCTGTTTTTACGGTGGTGGAGGTTTTACGTCCGCGATCGAATCGTGCAGTTTTTCTTGCTTTTTTAGTGCATTTTACGGACACGCTTGAGTGCCGCTTTTGCTGAGGGGAATATCCGACTGGATGAGCACGGCAAAGTTTGTTCCAAGTTCGTGCGCGCGCCCCCCCCCCCCGGTGTTGACGGGGATGCGAGGTCCATGGTCTGCGGCACGCGTTTCCATAAGTACCCGGCGTGCTTTACTTGGTCCACCTGGCGTAAAACAAATAGCGGATTGATTCAGACACCGCTCACGAGTGGCGTAGCTTCCCCGTGCCCCTCAACACATTTCACGCCTTGAAGACGGGCCCGACTGGTTCACATATCATTTCTCGCGTGCTGCGAGCTGGCTCACGGTTACCGTCCCCCTCTCTCTGCTGGCTCGCGGTCACCGCTGGTGGGACTAAACGTTCAGAGCGAGTACCTGGACGGCTTCGTAGACGTCGATGACGAGGGCGGGGAGTACGCTGGGTACGGTGCCCTGGACAGTGGCGACGAAGAAGAGGGCGGTGATGGCGATGACCAGGCAGAAGGAGAGGGGTCAAGAGGAGGAGGAGGAGGAGGAGGAGGAGGAGGCGTCGAGGAGGGAGGTGCGGGGGCTCCGCGAGAGGGAAGGGGCGGGGTCGTTGTTGACCCCTCCCACATCGAGGTTAGTGTCCGATTTCGCACGCACGGTTAGATGAGTTGTAGCTGTGTTTCTGGGCGCGGGTGTCGGTTCCTCTGGACGTCTTAGTGTGTTTTAGTAGTTGTCATGGGCTGACCAATGAAAAGACCCCACCTGGATTTTTGGGGGGGAGAAAAAGGGAAACACCCTTGTTGTTGGAGGGGTTCTTCGGGGGGGGGGGGGGGGGGGCAGAGGAGTTGAACGATAGGGTGCAGTCGGAGACATCGTTGTTGTCCTGGTTAGTTAGATCGACCGTAGGAGAGGTCAGCGGGTATCTCTTCTCCCGGCCCGGACTATCTATCTATGTATGCATAGCTCCACAATATTCATGTTATTCATGTTTTGTTGATAAGTAGAGAGCAAATCTCCCACACAGACAGCAGGACGCTTGCCTTTGTTCGGAGTCTGGCCTTGTTGGGAAATCTTCCGCCAAAAGAAATCACGAAATCCCGCGAACACGCGTCTCGCCGTGAACCGCATTATGCTCTGCTCACGATGCGTTGTCTCGCGATTGGATCGCGATTTACATTCGTTGTTTTTGAACGTGCGATTTTGTTTTGGAGTTCTAATGTAGACATGCGCAATGCACACGCGTGCACCAGGTCCATCGAACCGATGTTTAGATGACAAGTATTACCCACACCCCACCACCAACAGCAACCAACCGCAGCGCCCCCCCCCGCCCCTCCCCTTGTTTTGGAGCAGCTGCAGGCGCGGTGGGAACAACAAGACCACTCCAGCTCGTCGTCACCGGGTGCCGGTGACGCCACCAACGCCGCCGCCGCCGACACCGCTCTCCCGTCAGAAGAACAGGCGGCACGTAGTTGCAACGACCAGCAGGGTGCGGCGGCACCCGGGCGAGACACGGCCCCTTCGCACGACGGAGGGAAAAATAACGCCGAAATTTTGCCGTCGAAACCCGGGGACAGCGTGGCGAGCACGCCTGCTGACGGTACCACCGCCCCCGGGGGGTCCTGCGCGGGGCAGAGCGACGGCGGTAATGGCGAGGGCGGGAGCTGTAGAGGGGCTGGCGCCGCGGCGGCAGGGGAGGGGACAGGGGACGGGGAGGCAGCCTCGAAGGAGTCGGAGGAGTACCTGCTTGAGGCTGCGGGGTCGATGGTGGGGGGGATTGGGGGCGATTTGGAAGGGGACGAGGTGAGGGTTTTGCATACACGGAGCCCCCTGGATTTTCTTTGGGCGGCGTTTGAGCAAGCGCGCGTCAGATCTCTGGGTTTTCAATGGCAACGCGTAGTATCCGGTCGCCAAGATTGATCACAAGGTCGGCCAAGCGTCGAAAAAAAATGTCAACAGGAACTGTTGTTGTGTCGGCCAATCGTTTCCAAAGAAAAACGCCAATAGGAACTGTGAAGGTCTTGCGTGGTGAGGTTGGTCAACAGGTGCCCAGCTCGCACTCGCTCGCTATTTTGTGTCTTGAGCGTAGCCAAAGGCAACGGCTACGGCGGTTGCATGCTGGTGTTCGTGGCGTGTGTCTCGTTCCATGTTGCTCGGCGGTGTCTGCTTTGGCACTCAAGTTGTGCTCCTTTTTGCTTCAGCCTTGGTGTCCTTCACGCCCGCCTTTGCTGTTCTGCCGCCACCTACATTGGGCGGCGGCTGCTGTATTTCCACCATTGGGCAACTTGCCACAGCCACTACGTCCTCTCCTTCCCCTAGTGTCAGAGAAGGGCTGCAATTTCTTCCACTCACGACCCCAGGTTTTCGAAAGATGGCCAGGCTACAATGCACCAATATTTCCCATCATTCTGTCTCTTCGACGAAAAAAATTTCCTTTTGTTCTCGCTCGGCCTTCTGCGCCGGGGCACCGCCGCTTCTGGCCGATCTCTCCAGATGGAGCGGCTTATGGGCGAGGTTCGAAAAGCCAGGGAGCTGGGGGGTAGTGTGTCGGACGAGGAGCGGCGGTCGCGGGCGGCGAACGTGGCGATGAGGCTGGCGGCTTTGCTCGGCGACTTCGGGGATGACTCCGGGGAGGATGATAGCGACAAGGAGAGATAGTTCGAAGCGCTTTTGATGGTGGGGTGGTGAGATGTTTTAGAGCGCCCGTGCTACCATAGGTTTTAAAGCATCCGTCTCAACACGAACGGATGACGAGGAGAGATAGGTGTAAGTTGCTGATGGAAGGTGTGATGAGACGTTTTCGTGCGTGAGTCCCATATTGAAGGGATGACGATGAGAGATGGGCGTAAGTTGCTGATGGAAGGTGTGATGAGACGTTTTCGTGCGTGAGTCCCATATTGAAGGGATGACGATGAGAGATGGGCGTAAGTTGCTGATGGAAGGTGTGATGAGAATTTTTAACGGTGTCCGTCTCATCATGAAGGGATGGCAAGGAGAGGTAGCTGTAAGTTGCTGATGATGGATTGATGAGGCGTTTTCAAGCACCCGTCCCATCATAGTGGGATGACAAGGAGAGGTAGCTAACTTGCTGACGATGAGGTCATGAGAAGTTTCAAATCAACCGTCCCATCGTAAAAGGGCCATCAACCATCGCTTGGGAGTTCGAGTTTGTGAGGCGTGTCTTTCGCGGAAGGAGAACGATTCGCCGTTGTGTGTTGGGCAGGAAGGGGCGGGCGATGTCGTTCCGCGACACTCGATTCGCATTAAGGTCCTCCCGGGCATTACCGTGGGCTCTGTCGGTAAACACCAGCTGACTTCAATTGGTGGATGTCTTTCGTGGTTTTCTGCGGTTGGATTTTGGTGACAGACTCTGCTGGCACGTTTGGGGGACGCATGTGCACCGCCATCTTCCCGGGACGTTATCCCCACCATTCCATTCCATTCCAGATGTGTTTGCGGCGTCCCACAAGGGCCGGGTAGTGTTTTGGTGGTTGTGTTGATGGCAGTTTCGGAAAGCTGGGCGTGCTAAGCTCCGGGGTGCGCGGTGACCCCGGAGTTGGTGCAACAAGAACAACGAAGGGAAATCGTTTGCCATGAAAGGTACGTATGCAATGAGAGCTATGATGACCGAGCTGGCTGAACGGCGTTCGTTCGTTTCCTATTCGATCGTACCGTAGCTGGGAGATCAAAACTGTTTCGGTCCGTCATGAAATCGTTGATGGCGAAAACAAAGGTGGTTGGCCCTCGCCGGAAGCCGTCGCCGTTCTCGTATTTTTGTGGACTGGACTTTCGTTCCAGGCTTTGCCTTCTTTCTCAAGAGGGCTGTTCTCTGAGATAGAACGACCTGCTTGCTACCGGAATATTCAGTTCGACTTTCAGGCTACGTTCAGAAAACCCGTTTGCCAGGCTGGGTGTTGAGTCATACTCAGCTTCTGCACAAAATACGTATGTTCACATGCTGCAGCCAAATCGAAAGGTCTGCTAGTGATAAAAAAACTTTGAACATCTACCATCTCGCCTTCAAATAGCTGTGGTCTACCGCGATAGATCGATCGTCCTTAGACTCCTTAGTCGTCCGTGTTGACTTTTCCCTGCCGTCAAGCTTGCGTCCGCTCCGACTAATTCTGCTGCAGCGAGTGAGCCTTGCTGAACGTACATCCCGGTCCATTCCCCTGTGGGAGGTCCCTCCCCCGACGTTACTCCACCGCAATCCGTCAACACTGAGGGACATTGGAACAATCGCAACATGAACGACTTTTCCTGTGCATGTATGCTGGTGTGCTATCCCCAAGGAAATAAAATATAGCACAGATCTATAGGTGAGGGCTTGGCCCATGGCAAACACGTATTGGTCTATATGTGAGAATGCTTGATACATCCATAACGCTGACTACCTTATTATTATATATACAAGACCACGAATAAAGCCTCTTGTCTGCCCGCAGCAAGAGTTAGAACGAACGCCTCCTCCTCAGATTGAAGAAAAAATAGCGCCTGCACGCCGAAAGCACGACCCACCCGGACCTAGAGTATCAGCACCTGCAGATCCGGCACGAACACATGGGTCGGTGAGGGAGGGTCACACGAATGCCACCGTCATTGTAAGCTCTCTTTCGGAGAAGACGAACGACTCAGCCGGATAAATCGAGAGACCGACTGTATTGTCGGGAAAGGGACCTCCCACTAGGGAAGTACTGGGAATGCATGTACCGGGAATGTATGATCAGCACGGCTCTCATGCCGCAACAGCATAGTCGGAGCAGACGCAAGCTTGACGGCACGGGGAAAATATCGTGGACCACCAACGAAGGAGTCTAAGGATAATCGATCGATCGATCGCGGTAGACCATTACCTGTGGACGACGCACATTCACGATGTTTGGAAATGTAGCCCTGGTACCCGCCGGTGTTCGGCACCGAGCTTCTCGATTGCCTGCATGTTCTAGACTTTTTGAAGGAAAGCAAATCTTGTTCTTTATGTTACTCGTTGTGGGCATTCCAAAGTTTCATACCATGGCGTATATGCCAGAACGCGGCTGTGACCCCCCCCCCCCCCTCCCGTGTTGTGGGCCAAGCCAAGCCAAAAATGACCCCAAACAAACGAACAAGCAGGAACCAATGCCTTGTCTCACTTGAAGGTCAACACCCCGATCTGGCCGTAAAAGATGTAGATCATGTTTCTTTGCTGATAGGTGATCTCGAACCCAAACCCCTCCCCGATGGCGCAGTGCCACGACGCCCCAAACTTCTTGTCCATCGAGTTCTTGATCAATTGCGCTGCCGCCTGTTTGGTTAGTCCAGACAGAACGACTGAGTGCAAGCGAATGGCTTCCGCATCAATCAGTTTCGAACCATTCACACATAATTAACGGCCGCTGTGACGGAACAGCGGCAGAAAAGAACCGCCTGCCGCCGTGTTTGCCTTGACTCGAAGATGTTCTAGGCGATCACCACCAACAAGCGGGATCATTTGTGCCTGTGCAATGGGTTCTGGTGGTGCTTTGACATCCGACAGTATTACGGAACAGCTCTACCATCACGTAAGTGGGCCATCCTGATCAGCTTTTCGGTTGCATTGTTCTATTCTAGGCCGTGTTGAGAGCCACCCATAAAAAAGACACCACGTTTGCACATAGTCTATAGGAGGGCATCGGTGGGCAGATGACGACAGTTAGCTCAAAGAGTATATCGTGGAATTGATCCCACCGACAAGCCTAATCATGCAGTTCCCATTCATAGACTCCCGACCTCTCTGCTAGGATGCGGCAAGCTTTGTCCCCCCTGCTAAATGCTTGTTACTTCCCAGCTCCAAAACCGGGGTCCCTCAGTTGCTGTCCTGAGCCCGACCATTCGTGGCGAATCAATGACACTACAAACCGATAAGGGCGGCATTACCTCGTAGTTCTTGACGTTGATGAACTTGTCGACCGACATGGTGACAATCTCTACGGCTTCTTGAACGATCTCTGGCGGCATATCCGAGCTCTGCTCAGTCGCCGTAGCACGAAAAGACCACGGTATTCAATGGCTGTCGTCAGCTCACGTGTCGTATTGTCGCACAAATCAGATAAAATCAAATGAGGAGAGTGGCCTCTGCGGCTGTCGATAAGCTGCGGAGTTCGTACGCACACAGGGGGCCGTGGCAACGCTTAGAGCTACGTGTGTGTGTGGACTAGGCCAACGCACGTTCACTCTTGTTAGCTACACTGAGACTGCTGTCTAGCGGTTGGATCAGGCAAAGCGCATCTCGCAAACCTACTGTAGCTCAGTCCTAGAAAAACGGGTCATCATTCTATGCTGACAGCGGTACACCCATTCGTTCTAATTGTCCTCTACACCAACGGTTTTGTTTCTTTCTGCCCACATTGGGACGTCTCAAAGATGTGCATGGTCGATGATTCGGGTGGCTCACGTAATTTAGAGTCGAAAGCAAGTCCCTCATCGGGCCGAGATGGGAAACGATTGTTGGATTTTTCGGAAGGTGCTTGTGCTCCCCAGACGATCACGCCCACTTGGTACTTACGGAGATTTCTACTGGCTGCTACATACACTGGCTCAAAGTGCATCCAACGAACAAGCCAACAAAAATCTCAACCTACGGGATCTTCTCACAAACCTGAACCACATGGCCTCCTTGAACGTCTTCGGCACGCGGAGGTCGCTGGCGAAGCGGTTGGAAGGCTGAAGTCTTGTCAGGCGAGCGCTCAGCGCGAAGAACGGCGTCAAAAGCTCTCGTGGGTGCCGAATGTCGTCGCTAACACATGCGGCCTCCCGGGGCCCCCAGCTGCCACGCCCCCCCCGGCTACCATGCCCCTCCTGCCGCCGCAGGATCCAATTATTGGAGGCCTCGGGAGCGGGGGGGGCGCAGGAACCGCGGGGGGCGTGGCAGCCGGGGGGCCCGGGAAGCAGCGGGTTTTCGCGGTGACAATCGGTACCGGCGACGACGTTGACGCCGCTCTTCGCGCCACGCACTCGCCTGAAAAGACTCCAGACCTTCCCCACTGCCTCGCCAGCAACCTCCGCGTGCCGAAGACGTTTGAGGAGGCCGTGCCGTTCCCCCGCACTCAGAGTTGTGGGCAGATCCGTTGGTCGAAAGTTTCTTTGCAGTAAGTTAGAGGGGCTATACTCTAGTCTAATCTGTGGCTGTGCACACGTCGTGGTACGGAAAAGTGATATGGCACCAGAGATCGTCTTGTGACCACTATTGTGGCCACAAGATTGAGAGTTTATTTTCGTCAACCGCTAGACAGAAGACAGGCCTGACCAGGCGCAACCAGCGCCTCCACAAAACCGCAATAACGTCAATTGCACGGGGCTGATGGTATTTTGCCGTATTCCGCAATGGGTAATAACACCCGTATCGCACACTGGCGCGATTCTAGCAGCCTCACGTCATTTGAACCGTCACTTGTAGAACAACCCGTAGTGGTGATACGTTTGCCGGTATTCTGATAGACTACAAGCAGATCGATGATAAAATGCGCGACACCTGTGCTGCCTAAATGAAAGACTGTAGACGACACAGCAACGCTACGTACAGCAGCGTTTGGGGTTGGATTGCGTAGTAGGGTAGATATACTTGGTGTATGCGTCTGAAGAGCATATTCCGGCTAATAATTTTAGGAGCCCGCCGCCAAGACCTCGGTCAGAATATCTCTGACCTGGTTGTTCTCTCGCTGTTTGCTGTTGGTTGCTTGTGACGTTTTTGTGTACAGTAGCTCGGTAGACGACTGTAGTTTATTAGTCTACCAGGTACAATTGTAGGTCAAATCTTTGGTTGGCACTTGTGGCAGACTGGCTCCAAAATTTCTTTGATTAAACGCGTAAGTTCATGCAGAACGGGTGGGTATATGCAGGATGTATGTGTCCATGCTCTCTGTGTAGTCGTTATACGACGGACAAGAAGCTGAGCGTATCTGTGCCGAGCTGTGCTGCTCGCGGTGTCTCTGTCTCTCTCCATTACCTCTCTGGCCCAGCTGTTAGGACTGGTTGTTTACCACAACGATAACACCACCTAAGAACCGGCGCCTTGGCTTGTTCATCCTCACGGCGTCTACTCTCTTTTTTGCTATCCAAATCCGGGCAGGACGGTACCCTCGCACGCAGCAGGTAAGTAAGCGATCGTCACGCTCACCTTGATGAGGGGTTTCGAAATCACCTTCCGAAATTCGGCCTCCGATATCTCGGGCACCGTCCCCACCAGAGCCATGGCGCAGCGTGCTGTCTCTGCCAAATCCTCTGACAAAGCAATGAACGCTCTGAGCCCACAAACACGGTGAGGGAGTTCGACGCGAACGCCGCCCAAGTCGGAAGAAGCCGAACCGACGGTTACATTTTTATCCCCCCGCTTTATGTTCCACCGCACAATTGGATGCGGGGACATTGACAACACATCCCCGCTATTTTGACATCCGCTATTTTGACATTTTAAATTTGAACGAGGTTGGGTACGAATGAATGACGTGGGCCCCGCGCCGCGACCACTACTGCACCAGCTGCTCAGGAAGGTATACACCACCGACTCCGCTGCGGGTTTTCGGGTACCACCGCTCGAGCAGAAACATATCAATCGGCAGCTCTCCTATGCACACGGCCGCGAATACTTGTCGCTGGAGCATTTTTTTCTAGAGTACGTAGACTATAGTATGCCCTCATGTGTGACCCTGTGGATGGGTGTAGTTGTCGAAAAAATACACTGACAAAGTGTAGAGCATACAAAAAAATGGGGACTGTCGGCATATTAGATAGGACGAAAACACACTCACACATGCATACTGTACATACATGCGTATGATGTTGATTGGCCCCAAGCCGAGTGCTGCTGGATGAGCACGGCTGTCCCGGTTGACAATGTGAAGAGATGGTAAAGTCGTTTTATTGGTCGTCCTCATAGACACAAGCAACGGAAGAGAGTGGGCACCCAGGTGCATCACAAACACCGAGGCACGCGAGCAACAGTCGCAAGACGCATTCGGAACTCGGAATACATGACAGCAAGGAACGCGCGACAACTTGCCAAAGATCCTACTACCGGAGATACCCCGAAGATCCAAATGACCGATGGACGGTCACGCACTTGCGCACCTGCATAGCGCAAAACCACACATGAGCACTACCGCAGTAGCCTTCGTAAGGATGGCATAATCCACCTCACGAACATATGATAGTAGTAAGACAACCCCAACACTGATTACTTCCTTCCGAAGAGAGTAATGTTCGGCGACATCGTGAGGGGAGAGGATCCGGGCAGGGGGTGCCCGGAACAGCATTGATTGTATGGATGCTAATCCTAAGCCTCCTCCTCGCTGACAACGGCTAAGGAGCAGACCTCAACTTCTTTGAGAGGTAGACTAAAATAGAGGCTACTCGTAGTACCTTCCTTTCGTTGAGCGAAGTTATTCAACATATTATTTGTTCCAAACAAAACACACCAACAACGACAACAATAAATATCAATATCAACATCAACATCAACATCAACATCAACATCAACAACAACAACAACATCAACAACATCAACAACAACATCAACACCATCAACAACAACAACAACAACAACAACAACAACAACAACAACAACAACAACAACAACAACAACAACAACAACAACAACAACAACAACAACAACAACAACAACAACAACAATAACTCCGAAGGAAAACATCAGCAGCTCACCACAATAATCTGTCGTTTCATATGCAAGAAAAGGCAGAAATTTCTCCTCTTGGAGTCTCTGAGGTATGTCAGAGCCCCCACCCCGTCCCGTCGCGTCAATCGGAGGAGTTAAACGACCGAACTCATACCCGACATGCAAAAAAAAAAAAAGTCCTCGACGCTAATAAAACCTTCTCTGTTCCCAAAATACCTTCCCAGGTGCCTGTCCATGCCACCTATACGAGTTCCACAAAGAAAACGTCCATCACCTGCTGTCGTATGCTAATCCCGTTCAGCACACGACTCGCTCTTCGAAGTGCAAGGGTCTGAAATGTTAGCACGCGCTTCCCGACCTTCCCCAGCCGCCCATTGATGGTGTGCCAATGCCAAGCCACCCAATGCAGACACCGTATGATCATATTGCTACAGTCGCCGGCTGAGCAGAACTCCCGATACGAGCATTCGGTTCTTGCCCCCGCTAGTTCTCTCCCAAACTTTGCTTCGTTCGCTTGGAACGTTGTGGAAAGACACAACAACAAACACAACTGGAAGGCCGACAGACTGTGTATGTATGTCTGTCTACGATCATCCTTGACACAACCCAATATTTCCCGAGTGTATTGCGAACCCCCGCCCTCGGGACACACCGCCGTATTCTCTATCAAGTCTAACAAGCGTTCTGCTACACAAGCACGGCCAATCAAACACTGACGGTACATCGCCTGTAAAGAATGCGGTGTTCTGTACCTCATCCTACGGGTGTCAGGCCCGCCTCGTTCACGTGGTCGTCGTCATCGTCCTCAGCAGACGAGTTGCCCGCACAACCTATCTTCATCTTGTTCGTGTACGAAAACCTCATCGTCACGCTATCGCCGCCAACCCTTGGCGCCGGTTCGTCTTGTTCCTTCACCCTCGACGGGCACCCCAGCAAGATCGTCTCCACCACAACCGCCAAAATCATGCAAGCGTGCGCCGCAACGAGAACGGCCTCAAAGACCTTTTGGCTACTTCCCTTCTCGTTGGACACGTCTACCTTGAGCAGGAGCGCGACGTACACGCTCATGAAGACTACGGCGTGACTCACGCGACTGACCCAGGTGTCCCACGCTTGCGCGTATGGGCGTAAGGCTTCTGAGAGCACCGCAAAGACGACGGTCATGATGAGCGTTATCGCAATCTGGGCGGCTGTGTTTGGGTAGATGAACACGACTAGGCCGGTCAGCAGAATACGGCGACCGCATTCAATCACCTCGTAGTAGTACACCGAAGGCCTGTACGGCTGCCACAGGTTAGAGATCGAAGCGACACGGGGAGGATCTTCTCGACCGTCCGGATCCTTTTCCAGCACGTCGCGATCCCTGAACAGAAGAGCGCCGTAGAAGGCAGGGATGCCCACCGGGTACAGCAGAATCATGAACCCTGCGTACACACGGAATCCTTGATGCTTGGAGGAATCGCACTCGATGCGGTAGTCCGCACGCAGGTATTCCCCGCCGCCCTCGAGCTGGTCGCACGCAAAAGTCTGAAACACAACAGAGCTGACGCTGGAGTAGACCACAAACACCAATAGGAGCACCATCGACACATGCCTGTCCCAAACAAGCTGCAGGGTCGCCGCATTTCCGCGGTTGATGCGCGAACCAGCTCTGTAGGTTGCCGCCAGGCATAGCAGAGCCATGATGGGACCGATCGTCGAGAGCAGCAGCCGGTCGTGAAAATCAAGGTTCATGACGCAACCAGCCGATATTATCCAGGAAATATCGAAGTTGAACACGTCCAGGCCATTCAGGAGGCGCTGGTACACGTCCGGGTAGGTCACGTTCGCCGCGGAAGTAAACTGCGTTGATGCGGAACAAGCATCGTGCGGCAGGGGGGTGATTTTCTTGGAAGGAGGAGAAAGGAGAGCTGGTCGGGGAAGTGCCTTGTGCGGAGAGGAGGAAAAAGCCTCAGGCAACGTTTGTGTACTCTCCGCACGTATCGAGAGTCCAACGGGAGGGCAGTATGAGTTGTTGTTCCCACGCTATGTGGGGCCTCGAGATGCAGAACATTGGCATGATTAACGCACCGGTGTTTACAGACCCACAGCGTCCTAAAGCAGTAGGCGCTGCCAAAAACACGGAGTGGTGTTGAACCAACGTGTAGTTTGACTCTCACTTGTGACTGAACCACGAAAAGACGAGGTCGGGATCCATCTGGTTCAGAAGAAGCGACGTAGCGGGGTACAAGAGTTTGGCGGGCTTTCCACGTTCTTTCTCGAGAACTGCATCCAAGGACTACATACCGGTACCACACATGAGGGACACACCCCCTTCGCTTTCTGCACCTGAGTCACGATCTGCCACGCCACCACAAGGATCTTCAAAGTCTGGAGCGGGAGGTACCGTTTCAGGTGCCCTGCCATTCCGCATCCCGTGTTCGGACCCACCCTCCATGCCACGTATGAGACCACGGCAACGACGGTGAAGAGTCCTATCACGGCAAGAGCGGTTGCGAGCAGGATACCGCCGGCTCTGTTGGGGCACTTGCTGCAGGCGAATCCCAGTTGGGCCGAGTAATCGTCACTGCAAATGGCACAATCTGGTCCAATACAGGTAAAACCGGGCGGTGGAGTTCGGGAGAGTCTAGGGAGTTAGCTGACCGTGCTGCTGCCAGAGAGAAGAGCTCGAAATGGTGACATTTCTTGTTCTGCTGCGGCGACACGCCCCTTTTCTCTCTCCACTCATGCAGAACATCAGCGTTCAGTCAAGAAACGAGCTCGTTGCTTCCGGTCCTACTATTACAGTGCTGAAACAACCTAGGGGACAGGAAACATGGAAGCACAGATGGGTACCGGCTTGTACGAACGAAATAATATGTCCATGTACATTACTTGGTGAAGCCCAATGAACAAAACTTGCTGGCATTCAAGTTTGTTCTTCCACCTAAACGTCACTCACATGGCCCTTCGTAACCCTCAACACAGTACTCAGTTGCCCCCGTAATACCCCCAACGCAGGCGTCGACGTTGTAGCACGCCAGGACTTCTGTACTAGAATTAGTGGCCCTCCAATAGCCGGGATCGATCGAGAGGGTTTCCAGGGTAACCAAGCCACCATCGCTCCTCGAATGGGGAATCACGTCCGAGCATAACGGGACCACGGGCGGTTGGACGCATCCATCGCAGGTAGTTTGGCATCCACTACAGGCTTCGTCCAACGGATCTCCTGACTGTTGATCACCAGGCGTTAGAGATTGGGGAGTGTAGCCAGGGAGTCAATTGTTAGAGGTACTACTATTAATAGCGTAGAGCGCTGTCATGTGTACAGTAACGTGCGTGCTACGACATACTGTCTGACGACGAGGTGGGTGACACACATTTCTGAGTCGGGGGGTACAACGACGTACCATAGCCGACAATCAGCGTGCCAACATTGTACCACGTACAGTGTAGTTCAGGAATGTGTCTGGCGCGCAGTTGAAGACGTTCCCGCTGAAGCTCGTGTTGCTGATCTCCGAAATGACACCGACGTTGGACACTGCCGCGCCCTCCCCCTCGTCGGAAATGTTCTCCACAAATGAACAATTTACTAAAGACGCCCTGCCCGCCAGTCTCAGCGCACCCCCCGTCACCGCTTGGTTGCCCCTAAACACGGTGTCTTCGAAAAGATCTTGTCCACTCGCGCTGTCGACAGCCCCACCCGTTGCTGTTGCCCGGTTGAAGGTGAACCGGCATCGGCTGAAAGTGGTCGGAAGAAGCTGGTCGTTTTCGCCCCCTTTCACGTTCCCAGACCCTAAGGCGGAGACTGCTCCTCCGACCTGAGCGGAGTTGGAGTCGAATATAACGTCGGAAAATGTCGGGCCGATTGCTGTGTCGGAGACGTAGACGGCTCCTCCCGCCAAGTCAGCAGAGTTATCGACAAAGTTGGTTTCCTCCGTGTTGACAGAAATCGAAAGCCCTCCAAGCAGAGCTAAGGCGCCGCCGTTCTCTCCGGACGTGTTGTTCACGAAAGCCGTGGGGCCATCGATGGAAAGGGTGGAGTCTTCGGGGCTCAGAACAGAGTCCGAGGCAACCGATCCCACCGCGCCTCCGTCGACAAGTGCGCCGTTCCGCACAAAGTTCGTGTCTCCGGTAGAGCTTACGTACGATCCGTTCAGAAGGAAAATCGCACCTCCGGACTCAGCAGCAGTGTTGCTAATGAATTCTGTGCCCCCCCCCCACGAGACGCTCGAATCGGTCAACCACAGCGCCCCTCCGTTAGTGCCAGCGCTGTTGTTGACAAAACTTGTGTTGTGAAACGCCAACGTGGCACCAGACGCTGCAATCGCCCCGCCGATGGCGCTAAAACCGGAGCGGAGCTCCACCCCTCTCAAGCGGAGGGTGGCGTTGTCGACGGAAAACAATCGCGTGGTTCCATTCCCGTCGATGACAGCGCTCGCTTCACCGCCGCCCGTCACGTTGAGATCGGTCCCGTGCACGATGAAGATAGGTGCATCTAAGGACACGCTTCCTCTCCACTCCACCTGGAACGACCCGCCGGAACAGTTGACGTTGGCTGCCAGAGCCTGTGCCTGTGCAGAGTCTTCCACCACCCACGCCTCCTGAGCTTCCGCCGAGCAAGGAGTAGCGGCCGGCGTTTCCCCACAGTCGTATAAATCAGTCGCGGAGGGGTCCAGACAGGAGAAGCCCTGGATGCCACATTCATATTGGCTATCAACACAGGTGCACTCGCAGCACTATTGATGCATTCCGTGCGCACCCACAGGAGAAGGGCAGGAAGGGCAAGGGGGAAGGAAGCGAAACGGGATGGGCAGGGGGGGGGGCGAGGGAGGTACCGTTGGTCACAGCTGCACGTTAACCTGAATAACAAGTCTCGTGACATTTGTTGCCACTTCTTAAGATGCCAACAAGGCTGCCGAACGCGTTGTTGAACAACGTATGTAGCTAAATGCTATCGATGTATCATGTCTTCAACGGCCCTAAAGGCGTACCACACCATCCTTAGTCCGTCTACATGCCCTTGCAACACTTGTAGCAACAGCCTCGCATACTCAAGAAGACTCACATCTCCACCGTCCCAGTTGCACTCGGCGTTGTTGTTCTCCAAGTCGCACCATCCGTCGGTTACATATACACCGATGCAGTCACTTGTAGTACTGCTGTAAGCGGAAGGAACAGTGACGTAGTAACTAGGACTGCTGGATGTGTAGGAATCATCGTAAGTAGTGGTGGTGGAATAGGCACCACTCCGAACGCAGTACAGGGAGGCTGCAATAATCCCTGCCACGGTACTGGCTCGATCCATCTCTTCTTCGCGCTCGCAGCGCGGTTGGATGTTGCAGGCCCCTACCAGCGCACCTTGCTTGACATCCAGAGAGACGTAACGGGGGTGGTATACGCACGCAAGGGGGGGGGTTCTGCTTCACACGCTGGAGGTCACCGTCGAAAATATCTCCGCAATAAACAGTGCCGCGCCGATGGCCGTCGAGCTTAGTCGAACGTGGAAACACTGCACTATCACCAATGGAGCAAGCTTGGGGTGGTTTTGATCTGGGTGCGGGGTAACGCCCTGATATAAAACTTTGTTGGTGCCTGCATGACGACGTATCATGGGAAGGAACTGCACCACGAAAAACAAAGGCATTCCCTGTTTGACTCTTAACTAACTGGATGCCATTCGAGCCCGTATACTAGGGAGTCCATATTTATAGAGGTATGCATTATTCACTCAAGCTCCAGCTCGACGCCTCACAGCCCAACGTGGGCAATAGGCATACTTTAATATCGAGACGAAAAACTTCACGGGCGCGGCCAGCCTCCCACCGGGCCCCATTCGGCCTGCTACTTCGCGGAGCCCGCTTGACGCCCTCTCTCTGCAAGACCCCGGCCGTCGTCGCGGGCTCAGGGCGCGTCGTGCACGGCGAGCTGCCCGCACCGCCAAAAGGACGAAAAGCGTTGCAAACGGCGTCGTTCGCACATACATGCATTCACAATACTGCTGTTTCGTTCTGCCACGGTTAAGATTCGCGACGACGCTGATTGGACGAGACACTGGGGTGTTCCGCTCCGAACCAACATCTTTGAGCTCACTTTCTTCGTGCCGGGGTTTTGTTGCGTAAAGAGCTTTGATGTTGTGGTGCGTGTCTTCTATCCAGCCTGCACCGTCACTCGCTGCTTGCTGTGTGTTCACTGTTGTTGTTGGGTTTTTTCCACCCACACCCATCCTCACATACATCTATCTCCGCAGCGCAGGGGCGATTAATACGCACGGAACAAACTGTGGGTGCCTTTTCGCTCATCATTTCACTCAATTTCGGTGAGACTCATCATTACTACTACCACCCTCAATTTTCGGCGAGACTCACACTATCATTATGCTACGAGTCATTACACTCACTCATCATTACACTCAGTTTTCGGTGAGACTCACACTAACTACCATGCTGTTTCGAGGGCACTCATCAGTAGTCTACACTCAATTTATTTGTTTCCAAAATCAAAATGGAACGAGCATGCATGCATCACAGCAAAAGTACTTCATGCACATAACATGCGTGCTAGCGCCCTTTCGTCAAAACCAAAACCAACCACCAGGAAGCATGAATTCTCGAAGGCCTCGCCTCTCAAGCGCAAGCAAGCCGTAGCCTCAACTCCGAACGAACGTTAAGCCCCGCCTCGTGCTCACACTGGGTCTTTTGAGTTTAATTAAGTGTTTGTTTGCGCTTTCAAGTTCAGATTTCCATCTTCTTACAATTTGAGCTTCGAAGCTCCACTTTTCGGGTGCATTGTTTTCTCTGTGCTTCGTCGCGTCAAACACCCACCCGCGTCCGAGCTTGGATAGCCTCTTTTCAATGCCAAGAAAGATCCGCTCGGAAGCGTGCATGCCCGCGTTTGCTTTGATCCAACAAACACCATTATTAGCCCCATCCAGCAGGACAGTTTGTTTGGTGGTATTCTATGTATCATCAGACTGTGCTCTACGTATCGTATAGACATATTGCGTTAGGGAAAGGCTATTGTTGCATGCACACAGCGTTGGCAACAGTAGTAGGAGGGGCGTGGTTGTGGGAGCCAGTGGGAGGGTCGTTTGTAATTTTTTCGTTCTCAAGGTTTTTTGTCTTCTTTGGATCTGGAACTAAAAAGCCAAAACTGGACGCGAGAACGGAATGAATGATAAAAAATCATCAAATCATCCGCGGTCTCTGATTCAAACGAGAACCCAGAGAACAATAAAAAGTCAAATGATATTTGGATTCCATCCGTCCCCCAAAAGCGGGGTTCTCTGGCAGAGAAACTCTAGGGCAAAGGTCCGAACTATTTACATTCTGTTCCGTCAGCAGCAAGTGAAACATATACATGTATGATGTGCTCACGCACGCACCAAAAGATTTGAGGAAAATGAATACACGCACGGAGAGACTATCCATTCGAGATATATACCCAGCAGTCGAACGGGATGTGTTGGAGTCTTTGCAGTGAGTGGAGAAAACCGGCTGGGTACTGGACTTTTTACTGGACTTTTTATTTCGAGTACACTGACTGATGATGATCACACGGTGCAAGAGCCACTCTCACAGCAACCACAAGCAAGTCCAGTCCTGGCATTACTCCAACCTCACAGCAGGAGTTTAACAACTCCGCTTGAGTAGTCCGTGGTGTGATGAGCAGTGTTGCTTGCTTGTGACAACGGTGGGTGCAGGGGGCAAAAACAACCAAACGAACTGCTGTGAATCACACCTGTGGTTTTTCGACTGAGCCGCAGCAGAGGAGGAGCAGACAAAGATCTTTGGAGAGCTTCGTTCCCTACCGGCGACGCCGCTGTGAGCCGCAATCCACCCCCTCAATACAATGTGACCAAGCTGTTCCTCGGGTACCGCCGTTTATCCTGACATATCCTGATATTGATCGGCCCCCTTGGCGCTCGGCGCCGGTCTTTTCCACTCCTTCAAAAGACCGCTTGGAGAAAAACTGCGGTCTCCAGCCGGATGGCATCTACCCGAAGGGACATATAAAGATTCTGACAGCAGTCCCACGGCAGGCCTTGAGGTGCAAGGAGGGACCTCTTTCGTCTCACCTGCTTCACCTACGCCCTCGATCTTGACCGACCAATGGATCTTTACGGGTCTACCCCTAATCCTTGAAGAGCAGCACCCTGAGTCCACTGCAAGCCAAGCCACGGCCAAATGGTGGAGGTGACGCTGTCTGTCTGTGCGGAATCTTTCAGCACCCACAACGCAATTTGAAGAACTTGAACTTTCGCTACCAAACCGTTGTGTCGGCAAGTCGGTAAGATTCAAGCACTACACCGCCTCCCTCCTCCCACCAATCTCCACCGCGGGTTTGGCTCAACGACCATAGATGTAGACAAATGTGCTACCTATGAATTATAATTAACAATGCGGCCTGCATGTCGTGGAAGTGGCTAACCCGCCCCCTCCTCCAGTCTGCTCTTTATCCCGTCTACGTGTAACAAATAATAATTTTATTGCACATCGGGCGCGGTGTGTGTGCGACGGACAAGACGAGCGCACAGTAGTCAGTACAAGGGCGGTTGATCATTAGTCTACAGGGCGCGATAGAACAGTTCCCGCTGAACCGTCGTTCCGCACGTTTTGGGTGGTGCTCCGGATACGTATGCAACAAGATAATTCTGGTTCAACAAATACTATACTGTATCTCGTTTTGACGCAACCGATGGCAAGCGCTCTTGCGTCTTGTTGACTTTAAACTTTGATCGTTCGTGAAAAACGACAACGGAGTGTGGGGTGTAGAAGAGACACATAGATGTGGCTGAGATACCTCTGGCGTTCTTTACGTAGCACTGCATTTGTGTTGGTCGGTGATCTTCACGGTACTGCTGCTAAGTGCATGAGTCTCTCCCTGTGAAACACATTTTAGGTCCCAACGCCACCCCCCCGAGGGAGAGAGCACTCTACTATCGTTATCTACAGCATTACAAAATCGCTTTTCACACCCACCCGTCGTGTTTCAAGGGGACCGAGAAAACTAGTCAGCAACGTTACGATTCCTTGCGTCCTTTGCCTCCTCTCCATCGAAGACTGTCTCAGAGCAAAAAACAAAAAGAATCAAGTATACAACCCTTAATCCCAACCCTACAACCCTAATACATCGGATTCGGGTCTCATTTAGTTCAAGTTCGCCCTTTCAAAGTTGGCGGTTTACAACCAGTGGGCCAATCGACGACACAAAAAAAAAGTGAATTCAAGTCGACCTTTCGATCGACCGATCAAATGATATCGAGCATTCCAAACTCAATTTTTTATCAGCCAAGCCATTACGACGAACGCGACTGGCCGGCGGAGTGGTTACCTACCTGTGGCCGGATGTACGGTTCCGGAAAGTCTGCCTGTCATGT